CCAGAGGCAATAAGAAAGAAAATGACGATCGTCGTAATAATAATCACCCGCCACGGATTCATTCGTTCGAGTAACGGAATAATCCGAAAACTCGATCTCGTTAAGACACCTCTCCACCTCGCGTGTGTTGTGACTATTCGCCTTATCAATGTTTCTCAAAATTTCGTCCGAGACATACGTAAAGATGGTTATGACAATAACAATACAAATAATAAAAAATTAATTATAATATGATATTTATGTATAATTGGGAGCAGTAAGTTGCTTGACGTTAATGTTAGTTTTGTTAACTGCGCATGGCGGACTTACGCCGTCTAGTGTATTGCATGTTCGCGATTATTAACTGACGTCGTGCTTTAACCGGCGCACAAGTGGTTCAGTAGTGGTCCTGATGCCACTTTGTCATTTCATTAGTTTTATTGTTTAAAAGAAAAAAGTTTTTATAGTTACGTAAACTTAAAGTCAATTATAATATAGAAAATTATATCGATTGTTTGCAGCGGGCTTTGGTCTTAAAATATACGATTCGCACAACATTACAACGTGAGTGCATCATATACTATAATAAGACAATGAATATATAGAGTAAATTAAAGAAAAGAAAGAAAATACGAGATTCAAGTATTGTCAATAAAAAATTCTTCTAACTCACCTCATCACAACTGAATGAACTACCAATAACCATAATCATTGTATCCGGTCGATGCTTCCTTTGTTCACTTCTTATCGACATGTTTTTCGTAGCGACAGTCTCTACTTGAAGAAAACATGTGAATTCTCAGAAAATAAAAAGCTTTCCAAAAATGAATTTTTACTTTCTAGGTTACCTAAACGAACATTAATTTATATACATTTCTAAGTTAAACCCTTTAACGATAAGGTCAAACCAAACAGTATATACTTACATTAAATTATTCGTTCAACTTGAGAATTAATAATGTTATATCCTTTGTGAGTTAATTTATTATTTGTAATATGTTTCTAATTAGAAAAAAAACTGTTAAATTCTCATTGTTATATTGTAATTGTAAAACGTTAAAAGCTGAATAACTTCTTATTGTATATCAATTAATTAATTTTACTTCAATGTACTTAAAATGCGTTTATTGAAGTAACCGTAATTCTACAGTAATTGGTCATGAAGTTTACATGATTGTTTAATTATTGATCGGTATAATTAATTGCGATAAATGTAAAGCAACTGTTAAAAATTAAAATAATGTTTGGAATACTAACAAATTTTATGTACTAGGTAATTTGAAAGTATATTATATAATAAAATCTAATGTAAATAGATGAATCATATACAACTCAGTGTTAAGATGAACATTTCGTTATCTTAGATTTATCTGTTCATGAATGGTTTAAATTTTGAAACATTTGTTTGAATAGAGTCGTATAATGACAATTATAAACCGTTAATTGGAGATAAAGAGCGAACGAGTAAGAATCGTAGTTCTTCATCCGCTCACGAGTTATAAGTTCGGTTTTATTGCGATAATTTCTTCTCCCCATCGATTTATTCTGTTCGAGGTTTTCCGTCGTCCGAACCTTAAGTCGGTTTATTTGTATTTAATATCAAAGACTGCCACGACGAACACCAGCCTGCGTGTGTTGTGCATGGTCGGCAGTTAGAAATAGTGGTGGACGAGGGGTTATGAGCTAACTTTTCAGATAGAAGTTTTGCCAGTAATAAGAGGCTCATAAAATATAGAAAGGCGTAAAACTTTCCGAGGACCGCCACCGCCGAACTTCAGAAGTTTTATTTAAGACCGGACTCACTCACTTTATTTAAACTTATTTTCATTCTCAACCCTCCACCAACTCATCCTTCACCCCCTTTGCACATTTTGTTGTAAAATTCGTCGTCTTGTTTGACGGTCTCTGCCTTTTGTTTCATATTTGGTTTCCCCCTTCCTTTTCTTATATATTCTTTTTTTTCAGCTCTGAAAGTAAACTTTTAACTACTATGACAAGGAGGTGTGGTGGTGGCGGTGGTGAAGTTAACCTGCCGTTAACTTCGCAACGTCGACGGTAGTTGTGCCAAAGTTCATTCCGATCAACTTTTACCCATGCACGCGCGCGAATCCAAAACTTTTCGGGATCCACTGAGCTTTGTCCAAACAACTTGCCCCGATGCTTGTTTTGTATAACTTTGTTGGTGAAACTAATTTATATTATTTGTAATATCCCTGCTCTGAATCCGCGCCATTCTTAAGCTTTTTAAGTAGTTTAAAAAAAGTTTTCCTTCTACATGCAATAGTGTGTCGGTGGATAGGGGAAGCGGCAAGTGTGGGTCTCGACCGAAAGGAATTATTTTTATGACGCTTTTCCATGGTGTGTTTTTTCTTTCTTGTTTGTATATAACAGTTTCCTTCGCAAATACATTATTTGCAGACTATTCTCAGTATAAACTTCACTTTTTCGCTCTCCTTCTTGTCTGGACGTTTTACTTAGAAAATTAATGCTCGAAACAATAATCATAATTGAATTCATAGAAAGTGTTGCAGAATGTACGACATTTTGAAAAGGTTAGATTACTTTCTTAAGCTTAAAAAAAATCGTAAATTCAAAAATAATAGTAAAATTCATTATTGATATCACTTTTCTATTATTTAGTGTTGTTTAATCAAATTAACATCAGAAAATCTAGATGACAATCACAAAGTATAATATTTTTATTTTTTTTTGATTATTCAATTCCATTTAAACCAACATATACCGTTTCTACTATACCTTTGTATTAATCTGTATTAATCTCTATCCTAAGTTAATTTTTTTTATCCCTGATACTTAGGAGCCTTAAGTGTTCTCTGACTCTTTCATTTTAATATTAAACGATTTCTTGATATTATTTAATTATGCTTCTATTTATGGTTTTGTGAACTAGACCATGATCAGCTCTTCTCATCTGCCTAACTGAGTTTGGTTATTTAGAATACCTTTTTATTAAAAACAAATAATATATATATTTTTTTTATACTTATTAACCGTGACATAAGAAATAATTGAAAAACCCGTATTTTCAGTATTAATTATACCTATTTATAAAGATTTTTTTTGTATAAGTGGTAAGTAAACGAATTTCAACTTAACGGGGTAATGCGTGTACGTAAATATTTGCAATCGTGTCGATTAGTATTTTCTACTTGAGATACCTTAACTTGTGGGAATATGTTGAGATGTAATGTAAGTTCCACGTACAGTATCGTGTTTTGTATATTTAATACATATTATGTAACAAAGTGTTGATAACAAGTGGTTTAGCACTACCACCATACATTGGTAAAGCCTTAAAGATAACGTTTTTCTTAACTCGCAACTTTATTCGAATTTTTCAAGCCAATAAAAGAAACGTTATCTACCGATTGTATTTGTTGTTTAAATTGATTCGTTTATTTTGCAATGATGCAACGGATCTTATAATAGTACATAGGTTACCGTTTTATCATCGACTGTGAACAACATTGTTTATGATGCGAGTAAAATATAACTACCATCGTCGGTTTCCGGTGCATCTTGTATGTGTATTGTTTTCCTAGTAAGTGTAATCGGTTTCAGTAAACAAATTCTTTTGAAGTGTATAGTTCCACATTCGTTATCTCTCAAAAATATGGCAAATACACAATATTGTATAATTATTACTTCTACATTTCGCGGTTGTTTTATTGGTTTTCCATACACCACGCGCACGTTGTTATAATTTTATAATGATGTTCTTTAAGAAAAAATAGAGCTTTAAAACAACACACCACTCCTACGCACGGTTTTAGACGATTTCTTATTTACGCTAAGAGTTTCTATTTTAAATTTTCTTGTACGTAAACATAAGCGAATAGGTAATGAGTGAATAATAATAAAGGTTAAAACAGTTAAATAAAATATATCTTAATATTTTTTATTTGATATATTTTTAATAGTTTTCAATTGCTGTATATTTGAAAATAATTGACATTTATTGTCAATTTATATTTCTTGTAAATAAAATGTAGAAAGTTTAGTAGTATTAAGTTATTGAAATTTTACCCAAATTGTACTATACTTACATTATGTATTTCTGTAAGTTTTTTATTTTTTTCTTATTGAAAATAAACCTAGATAATTCTTAGTGATACTGTATAATAACTTTCAAACACATATACACTCACGATGCCTTCAGTTTAAGAGAGAGAGAGAGAGATATAAGATATAAGGAGTGTTTTCAGTATCTCAGAAATGTGTAGAATGAATATGTTGTTGATTAAGGAAAAGTTTGTTGATGGATAAGCAAACTTTTTGCATGGTATAGTTATCGTTGTTTTAATATGTATGATCTATATTTTTAAATACAACGTACATGACATACACAAAAATTTACGTATTGATTTTTATTATTAAATTGTATTAATTAATAGGTGATTATTTATATATGTATATTTTGATTGTTGAAATATTAATATTTAAATTTGTAATATAAAAGTTTAAACTATTATTTATCAATAATAAATTAGATCGGCATTTGTAGTTTTTCATATTAAATTGAATATTATAATGATGAACTAATGAAACGAATGACTAGTTTTCTATAATGTTTCCAGGGATTGATTTTGTATAAAAAAAAAAAAAAACTTTAGCAAAGTATGCTGTTCCTGTAATAAAATTGTTGTTTAACCGTTTGCCGTATTTTCGCCCCTTTGCCTGCCTCCGTGTGTTGTATGAAATAAAAGAAAACTTTTATTTTTTTCCGGTTAAGTTTGGTTTAGATCTCACAATTTTTAAAAAAAAACTTTTAAGTATATTATAGCTTTTTAGATGGTCCAGATATCGACAAAGTTTTTTAATTTTTTTTCTCGCTTCCCGCTTCTGGACTCAAGATTTAAAAAAAAGTTCCTAAATTAAAAGAAACCTTCTTTGTGATCTTTTATAAATTAAAGAAAGAAAACTATAACTTCATTTTAATTTTTCTTTTTTATTATTATTTATTGTTAAAATATTAAAAGTATTTTTCTTTATTGTTACAGGTTCCCTATCCTTATCATTGGTATGATTTGGACGTTTTAGGCACATTTGTGAAACCCAAACAGTCAAAACGCAAGGATTAAACAAACGTGTTGGTAGTCCAGTAATGGACAAACGGAAAATGATTACAAAAAGAACACGAATCGATACAACTATAAGAGGTGCTGGATCCGGCGCTGGAGCAATTACCAATGGACCTATACAAACAAGGCCGTTGGTCGCTTTGTTGGATGGCAGAGATTGTTCGATAGAAATGCCTATTCTGAAAGATGTGGCTACTGTTGCATTTTGTGATGCCCAATCCACTTCTGAAATCCATGAAAAGGTATGGATTTTTAAAATTAAATTTGTTTTAATTAACTATATTTTTATTTCTATTAAATTTATTTTTTGTTATACTAATATGATGCTTTTTACTGTAGGTATTAAATGAAGCCGTTGGTGCCTTAATGTGGCATACCATTGTTCTTACAAAAGAAGATTTAGAAAAATTTAAAACGCTCAGAATTATTGTACGAATAGGAAGTGGAGTTGATAATATCGATGTTAAAGTATGTTATTGCAGTATATATTATGATAACATGTATTTATTGTATGTTAATTAATATTTTGTTTAGGCTGCTGGTGAATTAGGTATAGCAGTTTGTAATGTACCTGGTTATGGAGTAGAAGAAGTTGCAGACACAACATTATGTTTGATTTTGAACCTTTACCGTAGAACCTATTGGTTAGCTCAAATGGTCAGAGAAGGAAAAAAATTTACTGGGCCAGAACAAGTACGAGAAGCTGCTCAAGGATGTGCACGTATTCGAGGAGATACTTTAGGAATTGTTGGCTTAGGTAATTTACATAATTTTCTTTTTATTTAAATTAATTTAATTCATTTTTTTTTCTTTAATCAAAGGTCGTATTGGCTCAGCAGTTGCATTAAGAGCAAAAGCTTTTGGCTTTAACGTAATATTTTATGATCCTTACTTACCAGATGGAATTGAAAAGTCTTTAGGATTGACTCGAGTTTATACACTTCAAGTAAATTTTAATTGCTGTATAATTATAGAAAATTAATTATTGATTTTATTTATTATATTATTTATAGGATTTATTGTTCCAATCTGATTGTGTGTCGTTGCATTGTACTCTGAATGAACATAATCATCACCTTATAAACGAGTTTACCATTAAACAAATGAGGCCAGGTAAATGATTGTTTACTTTGTTTTTTTTTTTAAATGATAACTTCTGATTATTAATATAAATTAAATTTATGTTTTAGGGGCTTTTCTTGTAAACACAGCTCGAGGTGGTTTAGTTGACGATGATGCTCTTGCAACAGCATTGAAACAAGGACGTATTAGAGCAGCTGCCTTAGATGTTCATGAAAATGAACCTTTCAATGTACTTCAAGGTAAAACTAGTATAAAATTTATCTATTCTAAATAATTTTAATTCAAATATCAAAAAATTTTAGGACCATTAAAAGATTCTCCAAATTTACTGTGCACTCCACACGCTGCATTTTATTCAGACGCTAGTTGTACAGAACTAAGAGAAATGGCTGCCAGTGAAATTCGTCGAGCAATAGTAGGTCGAATACCTGAATGTCTTCGTAATTGCGTCAACAAAGAGTATTTTCCTGCTCCAACTACCTATCCACATCAAGCAGGAGTTTCAAGCGTCGCATCAGCAGCTGCTGTAGCTGCAGCAGCTGCTGCAGTAGCTAATCCTGATGCTATGAACGGAGGGTTTGTTTAACATAAATAACAAAATAATGAAATAAATTTTAATTTTTTTTTCTATCGTTTAGATATTATGCAAGCGCTGGTACAGGATCTTTGCCAGTACAGCAAGCACATTCTACTACTGCACATGATAATGTGCCTGGCTCAGGGTCAGCACCACCACCTCCTTCACAACAAGCGCCACCAAGCTCCCAGTCAGCTCCACCTCCTTCAGTTATGCCACATTCATTAGTGAGTACACTACCGTCTGTCAGTAGTGGGGCTGATTCAGTGCCTTGAGCATCATCTGCTCTGTCACCTCTCATTCCTTTTGTAATCAATGAGTATGTTTAACTCCCATTCATCATCCGGCCTCAAATTTCACCGATCTTTTTTTTTTTTTTTTACTACCTACTTAGATTAAATTTTAATATCTACATGTAATTGTATTAAAAACACGTACCTAATTGATTTATTGTACAAGTTCAAATTAGTTATTAACATATTCACTAAATTGTATTTTTCTTGAAAAACCGTACTAGATTCAACTCTACTGTTATATAAATATTTGGGATTTTTAAATTACATTTTTTATTTTAATTGGTTAACAATATTCTGTAAAAATATTTAACAGTTGACTTTAAATCATTGAGTCATATATTGCTTTAATAATGCCTATAATTCATTATTCCTTGACAAACAATATTTCCAAATTAAAATATATTTATATATATATATGTATGTCGGAGACATTTTTCTTTCATTATTCCTAATTCAATGACCCTATTATTGCTTAAACCACTATAGAATAATTAATAACTTTGATGTTGCTATTTGTATTTATTTTGCTTTACTAATACTGTGAGTGTGTTGCTACGCGTGTTAATTATTGAAGGGTGCCACAGTAAATTATTAAAGTAATCAATTTTCGTTAATTAGTATAAAATTCTATTTATAAAATTTCATATTGCCTTACAAAATGGTAAATGTTTATTTTAAACAAAATTATTTTATGATATATTAATAATTTATAAACTACTTAACTAACAATGTTTATTATTTTAATTAATTATAATATGAATGTAGATTTATGGATATATGTTGGGTGTTAATTGAATATTAAACTTATTCTTATACGAATTAATTTTTTTTAAATTAATAATTATAGTCAACCAACTTATATATATATATAAATATATATGGCAACTACATATCATTTTTTTTTTTTTTTTTTTTTAATGTAAATATTCAGATAAATTACTATTTAAAATTTAGGCTAAATTGAATAGTAAATTAAATATCAATAGACTTGTTTTCAATAATTGAAGGGAATAATTAAAATAATATTTGATTTCTTTTTCATATCGCAAGTTTTTTACTTGAATGTTTATTCTTAGCTTATAGATAATTTGTTATTGATTTATACTATTTGCTTTTATTTATAATTAATTGTTAAAATATATGTTATTGTTAGTGACACACAAATTCAGTTGAGATTTTTTTCTTCAATATCTTCGTTTCAATATTTTTGATAACTTGCAGTATTAAAATAAAGTTCTGGCACCCTTTAATAATGACAATATATTAATAATGCATTAATAACAACTACACTTTTTAATTGTTTATTAATTTATAATAATGAATGTTATACAATATAATTATATATATTGTATTGAGACTTCAAAATATGATTTATAATGAAAATTGTGTCCATAGCTTAATTTATTAGTCTGCATTATATGGAAGGGGGGCAGGTTGCCTACACCATAAGACAATGTATTGCACAATAATATTTTTATACACTTAAATGATTTCTCAAGGCGTCCTGGGGGATGAAAAATTTGTTTGTTTGATTTAAAAATCAACGCGTTTTAAAATGTTGCTGCGCCCTTAGCAACAAAATTTCTATGATGACCGCTTTATTGTTGACATGCTTTCGGGAATTTTGTTTTTAATTTTTTTTTTTTTTACTGATTCTTTTTTATTTTTATTTTTATTTTTTGTAGTTTGTTAACACCCAGCTTCCATACACTTCTGGACAAAACGACCGTGACAGCACAAATAATGTGAGCCAGAGTAGTCCGTCCCTGACATATAGGTCTGCTGTTTGAAAGGCATTTGTATTCCCCTACACTCTTTTATGCTTTACAGAATTAAAATAGAAACACAAGTTTGCTCTTAGAACTAAAGTTTTGTTCTAATAGACTTTTCTTATGTTGTTTATATAAAAAACAACATTGTGAATTTAAACCATTTATGATAGGTATATTTTAGTAAAAAAAATAACAGGGCGCCTTGAGTTTTAAAATACTCACAAGACAATGATCATCAGTTAAAAATAAAACCAAAATTTTAATTTTCCTTTAGGCTAATCTAAAATAAAAAAAATTCTCTTTCTAATACATAATACTGATTTAAAAAGTGCAATCGTGTATCTCATTCAAAAACAAAATCATTCAAAAATAGTTGTATTATTTTTATGTTTTAATTTTCTATTTATTTTGTAAAAAATGATTGTAAATATTCATAATAAAATATTTTATTTTAAATTTTTTCAATGATTAAAAACGTTATTTCATCATGCAATAGAGTATTGTTAAATGAATGGGAGACAAAATAGTGGCATTTGGGCTTCTTACAGGATATAAAATAACATAAACATATGTTTTTATTTTTTTTATTTAAAAAAAATTGTTTTTAATAATTATTGTAAATAGCAACATCACATTAATTTAGTAGTGTTTATTACGTATAGAATTTTTAACTGTTAAGTGTGTTTAACTGTTTATTATTACTAAACTGGAGATATTGTCACCTTACGTCCATGTAGTTATGGTATGTGCATTTGGGCAGGGTTAGGAGAAATAAACAAATATTTTTCAACTTTTCAAGTTAGATTTTTGTTATGTTAAATCCATGTTTCAAAAAGACTCGCTAATTTAATATGACATAATATGCATATTACATTGAGATTTAATAATCAACACATTAAACACATAAAAAAAAATATATAATATTTTATATAGATCACAACTTTTATTATTTTTATTTTGTACTTTTTTTTTTTTTTAATGGACCACAAATCAGAATTATATAATATACATAAAAGTACATAGAAAAATTAAAATGTCATACAATGCAAATATCAAGGTAGATATTGTATATAATTTTGATGGAATAACTATTTCTTAAACCCTTTTTAAATCATATAGGTTTCATTTAAGCAAAAAATTATAGTAAGATTATTATTATTATTATTATTATTATTATTATTATTTTTAGAATTTGTGTTGTAATTAGACCTAATTTAAGTCCCAGTTGTAAAAAATAAAGCATAAATGTATGAAAACATGACTAAATTATATCTTTTATATAAGATAAAACAATAAATATCTTGTGCTTTTTGACAAGTGTAATGTCATGAAAACGACATATTTTGTAATAATACAATTTTTGTTCTAGTTTTAAGTGAAACAAAAGGTGATGTAATTCTTAATATGATTAAAAAAAAAACAATTATGAATAATTTAATTATTATATACATTTATGTATTTCTGTTAAGTAAAAATTGGTCAAGCTACATTTCAGCTGGGCCAACATTTTTTAAAACTCAAATTTGTAAATATAATAAAAAAAAGCAAAACAAATTTATTGAATACAATTTTAACTATTCTTTTTAGAAATTGTAAAGATAAAAAATAAATGTAACATTTAATATTTTATTTGAGAAATTACAATATATTAGTGTTGCATGCAACAATAATATTTTTTGTGTTTATTTGTATTATACTTATATATTTTTTCTTTATTATCATTATTCAGTATGGTATAACTAAAATTATATTTAAATATTAAATTGTATCAATTTAAAACCCAATTTGTTTGTAGTTAGCTTAAAACATTGTAAACAACAGTCGTGAAAATGTTGATTGAATATTAATTGGTGTTGATCAATACCACAATACCAAAGTAAAAATAGTGAATATGAAGTAGTAGCGTTGTAAAAACTTGCTTATGTAAGGAGGGAGTATTTTTTCATGAGTATGGTGTTGAAAGGTATTGATTATATATTTATATCTGTAGACGTGAAATCTTTGTCTTACGAGTGTACTCCACTCTACAACTGACATATTATATTATGAAGAATGTATAAATGCTAAACATATAAATATTATTAGTTATTTCGTTGATCTGTGTTCCCATTAAAACAGATGTGTAAATCTCTTCAAGTGCTGGTAACCAAATCTTAGCACAAATCGTCATTTTGACGCACATAAGTTCCCACTAGTTGAGCCTCGGGTGAAAAGTAATCAAGATACGAAAATATTTTGGCATGGCTGTTGAACCTAAAGTTACCGGTTACCTATCTATTTTAAACACATTCGCCATACATGGAGGTTTTTTTTAGCAATAATATTGATATGTTGGTATTCTACATCGTTTACGAATATTAGATTCAATATATGTAATGGTGTTTACCTGATTAATATAAAAGAATCGAGATTGGGAAATCCAGTGTCCAGCGGTCAACGAAAAACCAAAAAAATTAATAAAATGTAGAACATTTTAATCTGTAACTACAGTTTTAGATTTATTGTATCTTGTGAATATCTTGCATAAGTATTTTAATTTCTATTGTTTTGTTTGTCGTTTGCTGTTGTCGCGTAAGTATAGATTCAATCTTTCTAGTTCATAAGTTTTTATTTTATTATTTTTTGTAGATAAAAACCTACTTTCTCCTCCTTTTTTCAATCATAAAATTAGAGTTAAATAGTAAAATGTTTCTGTTGAAAATTCCTATTTCAACACGAAACTGTGAATTGTCGGTGAATTTTTCAAGAAAAAATTGTATTTATCAGTTTCTTGAAAAAAAAAATGGTACTTTCTAAATTTATTTATGTATGGTATTACCTGCTCTAAAATGTAATAGCTTAACGTTGTATATGTACACACTGATAGGGTATAATTATTTTGAAAATTGGCTCAAAATGTATAATTATTAGTATTTTCTATTTTATGGATCGTGGCGGTCTCTCTCGCCATCCAACATTAGTACTGTCACTGCTATGCAGTGTACTAATAATTGATTATATCACCAAAAAGAAAAGCAGTTAATACATTAAATTTCTTTAACATGATATAGTTTTTAAAATATCTTAGCTCTTATTTGTATAGGTATTTAAAATTGTAGGGTAATTTTTTTCAATTAATCTTATTTTTTTTTTAATATATTAAAAATACGATTTTGTTTTTTTTTATAAGGGTGATGTTCAATTCTAATTAAAATCGTCAAATCAACAGTAATTTGCAAACTATTTTATTGATAATTCAATAATTTTTTCTTATTGAAAGAAAAATAAAGCTTTAAAAAGATTATTAATATTTAAGTCCTTGAACTAGTTGAACTTAAATATTAACAACATTAAATACTCGTTTTTAAATTATCAAAATAATTTCTCCTCAAATGATTTAGTTGTAGTTCCCAAAACACTAATTCTTGAAACTTAAATCATTCCACTGTCACTAATTATCATTTTGTAATTTCTGTACACGGTGAAATTTACTTTTAACAACATCCATCCTATTCACTGCACCGTTCCTTAGGTGTACTGGTATACATCGTTATGTTACTGAAGTTAAAAACAATAGTTTTTAATATAAATATATAATATATCAACTATTAAAGTATTAAATAGTACATAATATTGCAATGTGTCTTACAAAAATTTAGTTCAACATTGCTTGCTTATAAGTTATAACTAATATTAATACATTTTATTAAATACCTATTTTTAAAATTAAAAACTGACACATTACCGTTAAGGATTCTTTTACGAAATGATTTACTTACCTATCATTGAATTTATTTACCGCAACCATCAAGTACGACCATTAAGAATAGACAATGCACTGTTAAATATAGAGGTTAGTGGAGAATAAATGAATACACTATTAAATATTTGTATTGTATGTATTATATATTATTATTATTATTATGCGTTTAAACTCGCATTTATATTGTTTTATATTTTTTCAGCCGTATTTACAAATGTCTATATAATTCTATAAGTTATTTGTTATACATAATAAATACATTGACTAGATTGAGAATATACTTGATATTTAAAAATAATTAATTATAATGACATAAATAACACACACAAGTGTGTAAAATCAATTTTACACACTATATAACTGATAGAAAAAAAAATTGTTATAATTTATAACTTATAAATTAATAGATAACTAAAGTTTGGTTGATACTTATTATTAATGAACATTTAAATTTTTGCGTCGTAGTCAATATTATATAGGCATATACGACGATAAAAGACTTAACTAATCCAAACAAAACACTATAATATGAACGAGGAGGTTGAGAACAACAATATACATTCTATATTATGTAATGTACTTAGTTATCTACTAAAGAAAACAATTTTAAAACTAAGTGATATTTATATTAATTAACAAAGTCTTAATATTTATCACATTATGGAATTTAAAGAAAATAAGTATTCATTGAGATAATAGTTATTTGTTGCGGGATTTCATTTTCGGAAATCGTCAATAATATTATTTATTTTTGATTGTTCCACAAAGGATAATTGGACGTATATGTCATAAATTATACTATGTTACGTAAATATCGTATTTTAGATAATTAAATGGTAATTTTAGTTTGGTGCAACTAAAAAAAAAAATATATATATTAATAACAGTTGATCTGATTTTGAGTTTTGAATATAGGTATACTGTTAAAAAATTATTCCAAAACTTGAAATTTAGTAAATTTAAATAAATACCTCAAAATAGGAGCGGATTAAATTTTAGTCTGAGAAATTGATTTAACGAAATTGTAAACGGCTCAATTTATTGTTATGGATGCGTTACCTGAATTATATGTAAATTCTAAATAAACAAATGAGATGATTTAATTCACATTACATCTATATTATATTTATATGCGTATGCTCTGTGAAGTGTACACACGACTTTTCATTTCAGTTCATTTTAATGGTGCACGCGTCTATGTAAGTGCGAGGTGATTCATGTCGCCTATACAGTATATTAATATGTTGTGCTAAAAATCAGTTATCGTCCAGAAAGAACGATTAACTATACTTAAATATAAATAAATAAAAAAAAAAAAAAACTGCAATGCTGCACATAGGTCGTCGGTCGACGGGAGAAACGCGAAAATTTCTAAAATACAATAAATCGAACTAGGCATAATGACGATACGAATTCGCGAGTAACAATAAAACATAACGGAAATATTTTTAGTGTTTATATGTATTAATATATTGTTTTTAACGCACAGTCGAAAACAAACTTTGTATACCTATACGTTATTTGCTCGTCGGTTTAGCCGCTATTATGACGTACCTATTTCGTACCCGCGGAGATCCGTTTCCGTCGTGTACGATTGTTATCCGTTTTTGAAAAATGGCATAAAATATATACTTACACGTGAGCCATTCGAACCGAAAAAGCGCGGTAATATCGGGGCGGGGGCGATTGATGAAAACGTCGATTCGGCGCACAAGTTCAAACGATGTACACGACGATGACATGTGTGCGTGATGATATTCTATTATTGTGTATACATAGCTTCAGTGGCGGTACTCGCGTTATGTGCGGAAAAAACTTCTTTTACGGAGGCGTTTAACCGATGACAGGCGATGGACAAAGGACAGAACGAATCGAACAGACCCCTCTGAGTGGAAGCTCGCTGCTGATCGTGCTTCGTTTCCACGTCCAATACGGACATCGTTGTCGGCAAAGTCCGTTTTCGTTTTTAGCTATTTCGGTGGGGAAGGTGGGGGGGGGGTTGAGTCTTTACCGAAGACGTGCCGGCGGGCGAGCAGTACGGTTCTGAGATGGTGACGACTTTGGTAGCGGCGGCGGTGCTGGGTACCGCCACCGTTATACCGGCAACAAGATGTCGGCGCCATTCATGCCGCTGTGGACGCGCATGTGCCTGTTCAAGTTTCCGGATTGGGAGAATCGGAGTAGGCAAAGCTTGCACTGGTACGGTTTTTCGCCCGAGTGTATCCGCAGGTGTTTGGTGAGCGTGGACGAGTCGCTGAACGCTTTCTTGCACAGCCGACACCGATACGGCCGCTCGCCCGAGTGGGTGCGCATGTGGGTCGTGACAGACGACGACTGCGAGAACCGTCGGTCGCATATCTGGCACCGAAACGGCTTTTCGCCGGAATGGGTGCGCACGTGCGCCGTCAGGTTGGCCGCCTGACTGAACGACTTGTTGCAGTCGTCGCAGCGGTACGGTTTTTCGCCCGAATGCGTGCGCAAGTGAGTCTTGAGCGTACTGGGACGAGCGTACGTTTTGCCGCATATTCGGCACATGTTCGGTCGACAGCCATCCTCGCCGATGGTCGCCGATCCGACGGGAGAGCACTCGGCGCCGGCCATGCCGCAACCGCTGACCGACATCAGGATTTCGGTGCACGGTTTCAGATCCTTGCAATCGTCGTCGATCATCGCCGTAGACGATGACGACGACTGCGCCGGCGCGCCTGGTTGTATGTTGCACGCGAACGGTGGCGGCGGTAGTTGTGACGATATCGGGTCCTGTGGCCGGAAATCGGCGGTGAACGAGTACGTGGCACCCGACTGGTAACCGCCAGTACCCATGGACACCAATGGACTCAACATGCCTTGATGGTGGTGCACGGGGCCGTGATGGTGGTGGTGGTGATGATGTACTGGCGATGGTGACGTTGGCAGAGTCCACCCGACCTGCAAATCGCAACAATTTATTATTTTAATTAGTATTGTAACTTCTTGAGTATATTGTTTCACTTAGAAAAAAGTCATCCTCTGATTTTTGATATTGATACAATCGATGAAAAACTGGTTTAATTTTCCATGTTTGGATACAATGAAATTGGTCCATTATTTATGAAAATTAATTTCGTTAAACCGTTGCAACTGTCTATTTTAAGGCTGTCATTAAATTAATGAAAACTCGGTAAAATGCTTAAGACGTAGGTAAGTAGGTACATATCTGTTATCTCGAATACTTGAATAATTGATTTTCCACGGAAATACTAAGGGAGATGATACATGGTATTTTTAGGTCATACTGCAATATACAGTATATACGATATACCTTATAATATATTATAAGATTGTTACTAAACTTCACCGGTTGTATGTGGTAAAATATAATAATTATATAGTTCAAAAATTACCGGTTGACATCCGAACTGAGCGTCCCCGTGTATCGGAGCGTATCCGTGCATAGTCATGTTCATGCTGACGTTCACACTCATGCTGGGGAATTGGTGTTGTTGGACCTGTTGCTGTTGGTGGCTGCCTCCGAGCGTGGTCCAGCATGTCTGATCGCCATATGACGAACCGCCATAGTCGACCATCGATTGTGAATCTTCCTGTTTGATCAAACATAATAATGTATTGATAAATATTTAATGCATTTGATGTGTGATGTAAGTGTGACAGGGGAGAATTTTAATTAAAAAGTCTTGATACAAGTTTAACCAGAATAATTTTTAATTTAACAATTTATCACATGCACCCATTTACAACGCGCTAATTGAAATTATCTGAAATTCCAATTGACCGATTTTATCAAACAATACAAACTAAACTATAGCCTACCTATACATTCTTGGATTTTATAGAATTGCTTGGTTTATATAATTGCTCAAACAATATATCTAGAACGCGGATTTTTATGCAATTGCATATTTTTTTTGTCAGTTATCTTCACGAATCATAACAATTTGAATTAAATGGTAAATTTTTTTTGACTTATTTCTACAGAATTCGAAATATATTGCATATTAATGCAAAAATTTAAAAAAAAATTGTGTAAAATAACATTTTGTCAAGTAGAAAAATTAAAAATAATTTTGTTGGCATTAAATTATAACTATAGAGCGGATTTATATGCAATTGCTTATTATTTTATTTTAAATTTTTTCAGTTATCTTCACGAATTATAAGAATTTGAATCTAATAGTGAAATAATATTTGTACATTTCTGTATATTTTTACAAAATTCGAAATATATTGTATAAATTTTATATACTTAGTTTATTTAAGTAATTAATTATTATAAGTTGTTTAATTTGTGAATTTTATATAAATAAAGAAGAAAAATTTGTTGCATATTTTTATGATTTTTACTGCATATTATGTGACATATTTCGATACTGTTTAGTGCATAAAAATCCGTGCTCTAAATATAACATTAGTTTTTAGTTAAACGTGCTACTTTATTTTTTTAAATACAATTTTTAAATTTGCTTCCCCAATTAAATTTAATTTAAATACGCACAAACTTTTAAAGAAACGCCAAAACAGTTCACTAAATTATACGTAATATATACCTATAATTGTAGGTAATATAAAAATGGTACTAACAACTCGTATGTTACTTATAATTGTAAAGTTTCTTATTTTACAAATATAATTATAATACCTTAAGATTAAAACTTATTTTTTGATTATTAATTTTTATGAATTTACGATGCTATAAATAAATGTTTTGATTAACAGCTGCATATTTGCTTTATATAGATTAAATAATTTCAATACGAGGATAATTGACGAGCTTATTTATTGTTTGATACAAATAATTGTTTTGAAATTATACAGCACTAATTAGTTTTTGTTACTTTAATACTATCAAGTATACGAGTAAATACGAGTTATTTATATTATTATTACTTTATAAAAATAGGGCATCTCTTTAAAGTTGGTAATTTTATCAATTATGACTATTTTTTGTTATAATTAAAGTTATAATGACCCCACATACTATTAACAAAATAAACGTTTTAACAAAGTGTTGCCGCTCAAAATATTTTAATGAAATTACTAAAAACGCAGTGGGTTAAGTATTGCAGTCTGCTAGGTATTTAAAAAAAGATGAGAAAATTTTTAAATTTAAATGTGGAAGATTATCGTATAGATAAATTCTACAAATATATTGATCAGTGTGGCATTGTATTACAATATTACATTGTCTATTTGTCTATGACAAGTGTGAAATATATACTTATAGTCGAAGACTGTATATTCAAATGTAATCAAATTTTTATGGTGTGAACGAAAGGGATGGCACTGAATGGGTTTAATTATAAATCATATTTAGTATACATACGTTATGATTGGCAGACAGTCCATACGTCTGGTCATGCTGTTGATGCTGTTCGTCTACTGAGGATTGTGGAGTTGGCACGGTGTGTTTGAGAGACATTAATACGTCGGCCATGTCTCCGCACGGTTTGCTGTAAATTTTATAATCAAATAGCATATAATACAATATACATATAATTGTATAACTTAATGTGATATGTTCTTTTATTTATTGCGTATATAATGGTATTTCAATGTACATTTATGCATTTATTTAGATGTTAATAAATAAATTATTATATTTGTTAAACTCAAATACTTGAGATAAAATAAAATTAAGATAATTAAGACAAAAACTCACACTTCATTATGATCGTTGTATCCAAAAACCAAAAATTTTACAATTACTTAAAAATGTTTATATTTTTAAATGTTATATATTAATATTACAAAAACAATTTCATCTTATTTGTAAACATAAGTACAATAAGCCGTTAAAAATCTTTAAGAGTCGAAATCGTAAGTGTGCAGTTTAGACGCATTCATTTTTTTTTTTTTTTTTGTTTAACTGTGACTGTATTGTAGATACTCTTGTGCGATAATCTGCAGTGACAGTGATAGAGTGTCGATCAGTGACGTGGTGTAGAGTAATTTAAGAGGCAATTGTCTCTGAGATTTTCAAGTTATGGGGGGATGGGTGTCGCGATTCGCGAATAGATTATGCATCCACTAATTTCTTATTATACGTATAGTATAATATAATCTTATACATCAATAATAATGGTTATATAATAATGTGTCTATGAGATTTTTTTTTTTTGAAGCCACCTCCTCCCCAACCCTATGTGCGTTTATAGTAGTGGGAAGGTGAGTTCTCGGGCTATATTTATTGCCTCTGGAATAGATTCAGTTTATTACGCCACTAGTTTCCACTATGGATCCATAACTATGGTAGTATGAACATTTTATTTTTAATACTTATATGAGTCATATTTTAATTCCTTCATTTTTTATTTGAACATTTATTAATTGTTTATGAAAAATGAAATATGATTAAAGACAATATTTTTTATCTTATATTGGTCTTTTAAAATATTTGTCTCATGAGCTTCAAAAATCTTAGCCCGGGCTTGGATACATTGCGCTATCACAGAACTTATACTCAAGATATTTTTGTACTAAAAAGCGGTTATCGATATTTTCAACTAAACGAATCGCCATCACCCGAAGCCGCTGTTTATTTCCTCGTTTTTCACGATCCGTAAAAACGCTTCTCCTGTTTTCCGAGAATTATCCCACAGGAGTAAGCATCGAAGTAAAATAATATGCACATTGATTAAACTAATAGTTCATCGCTAGATTATTTTCTATATAGTGTATATTAGTATCACCTCTAGGCTCTAAATAAATGTACGACACTTAAGTGTGGAAAATAGGGTTCGAGACAATTGGGCATCGCATAATTTTGTCTTATAGAAAATAAAAATAAGAAAAAATCACAAAATTATTATTAAAAACTTAAAAATTATATAAATACATTTATTTTATTAAAATATTATGATGCATTTTGAGCAATTCCTTTAAAAAAATCATTTATGTCGCGATTTTCAAAATTTTGGATCACCAGACTAAAATATCATTTTTCAAATTTTAGTCCGTTTCATTTTTTTTTTCAAATTATGTATATAAAAAATATCAATGTAAAAAAAAAAAGTAATTTGATGTTTTGCATTTCAATTATTTGAATATTTGCGGACAACCCATTCAATTAGCTGGATAATCGACGTTAGGTTACTGCAATAAAATTTAGAATTTATTTCATAAATTATTAATATACGAATTAGATTAATTTTAAAAAGTATTGACATTCGTTCCAAACTGTCTTGCACACAATTGTGATAACGCCTAAAAGTTCCATTTCCTATTTTTTACGCCCAAGTGTCGACATACCCCTCTAAATCTAAAACTACGATTGCGGCTTACTACAGAACATTATATTATATTATATTATATTATTATATTATTAACAATATATTATGTTGATGACAAATCAAGGGCTAGGGACTAGGTTAGGTTTGCTAGGTATGCTCTAAAAAATTGTAAAATATGCATAGGTACGTTTATGCTCTTAAAAATATTTTATTTTTTATTAAAAACTAAAAATTGTAAATTTATCTATTATTGAAATAAGGCATTTTTAATTTAATTTTTACAAAAAAAAACTGACCGTCTACTAACTATATACAAACATCAGACAAAAATACATACTACACCAACAGACCAACTGACATCAACTTTAAAGTGTATTAGGCGTATTTTCTTATCAACCGACTTAATGTTTTTCATAACTAACAAATAATTGGGAAAACACGCAGAAGGTATATTATTTAATTATTTTAAACTATTTTTTACAATTTCTAGAAAATTAATATTAAATATTGTATAGTATTTATAAAATATTATACAATATGCACTTAAAAGAAAACAAAAGTTAAATATTATGCAAAATATGCGAAATAAAAATAATTGCTTTAAACTTCTAGAAAAAAATTTCTTTATTACTTAGCTATGTTTTTAATGATTATTGAAAAACACGCAAATTCCTATAAATTCCTAGTTATAATAATGACTTAAAAACATTTTCCACCTTTTCAGGTTTGGTCATTATTTTAATATCTAATTATTTTTAACATGTTTCTTTGTGAGGTTTTTCTATCTAATTTTATATCTATTTCAGGTTTAAATAAACATTATTTAAAAACTTATAATAAATGTTTTCCAAAAAAAAAAAAAAAAATGATTGAATACTTTTAAAACGATTGTGATGAATAATTTAACCTAAAGCAATGTCGATCAAATACATTGAAGTTCAAAATAAAATAAATAGCACTGATCATCATTTAAATATGTTATGTTCATTTGACACGTACAATGAACGAAATGATTGACCATTTATAAACACTATGGTTATTAATTAGTTGTTTTTCTATTCGTTTGTGTTCTTACTAACAAAAATCATGTTTTATTTATGAAATTTATGGCAATTTTAAAATGATCTGATCACCAGTAAATATTGTTCCATATTATTTAATGTTTTCTAATATTTTTTCTATGTAAGTAATTATTATTGAATGTAAATAATAATGCACATAAATTATTTATTACTATCAAAACGTGTCTAAAAATCAATGTATTTTGTGTGATACTTGGTGTTATAGTTAGGTTTACTGTAAGGTTGTAAGAGTTAATTTTTATATTCCTGGATGAGCAATGATATAAAAATGTATTAACTGATTTTAAAATATATGATAGATTTTAATTGCTGAAAAAAATTTATATATGGATGGTATTATAAGTTATGAATAATTACTGTAGATAATACAAACTTAACCATGGTCATAGATTTGGAGATGATAAAAATATAGAATATACAAAACATTTTTTTACGATGAATTGTTCGTTTTTTTCCAATAATTAAAATGTATCATATATTTAAAATCAGTAATAATATTACATATTATTGCTCATACAAGTACATAAAAATTAACTCTTACAATTTTCGTTAACTTTTTTAAAATTTTCAACTTTTTTTTATTGACAACATGTTTTTTTAATTCCTTGTTCTAAAACAGAATATTTTTTGTAGTAAGTACTTCAGTAAAAAAAAAAAAAAATATCAAATTTTGGACTAGTAGCTTATAAATATTTAAAATTAAAATGTAGCGTGTAGAGTGATGGCTACCCCATAAAATGTTGGTTCACTTCTATGTTCATTTAAATGCTTTAAAATCTTAAAAATTATGTCTAATAAACTCATTGTCCAAAATTCGATTTTTTTCTATAAAAATATTTAAAAAAAAAATTATGTTTCAAAGTATGAAATAAAAAATGTATGCTACATTGTATGCAAAATTTTAAAAAAATAATAAAGATAAACAATAATAAAAAATATTTTTCCGAGAAATGTTATCTTATAATAACTTATAATTATAGAAAAGAAATATTTTCAATAATGTTAGTGTTTTCTGAAATAAAGAGTGTCTTAATTTAATTGGATTACCTCGTAATTATATACCATATTATAGTCATTGTCGTTAATGGTCATTATAATTACGGTTATCGATTACAGCATAGGTAAATGTAAAATACTTAACTTTTGTACTTTTTTTCTAAAAAAAACATTTTTAACATATAAGTTAGTAACTAGTCGATATATTATATATTATTTTATGAATGGCGTGAGACTGTGATAATTTTTAAGATTATACGAATTATGAATTGGGCCTTATTTTTATACATAAATTTGTTTACACGTTATTTAAAGAAAATTACATTTTTATAATGAACTCAAGTCTTAAAGACATATGCAATTAAACCCCATACTTAGAGCTTTAAATATACATGGGTAAATTCAGAATTTCTATTAACTGTTACACAAATACTAAATAAATAATTTGTAAATTAATCAGAATACCATTATATTTTTTTGAGGAGTATTGTAAATGTTTACATTGTATTATATATTCCAATGATTAACTGTATAGTTTTCCAATTGTATACTCAAATAAAAAAAATCTAGTTTTGAAAAACTTATAATAATAAAATTAGTACCTTATATATGATTATTGACTATATTATATCTCAGAAAGCTTACTTAGTAAATGAATTATTTTTTATCTGAAATAAAAAATAATTACAAAATTAATTTAAATTATTTAAATTTAATTTTGTATGAAATATTGAAGTTTGTAACGTTTGGGAACCCTATACTTGAAATAGAGATTTGAAAATAATTTTAGAAAATGTAAGAAGTATAGGCCAACATATTAATTAGTAGTAAGGATCTGGTTCTCCTGCAGGTTAGGGATTGAGATAGACTTTTAATAAAATATTTATAAAATCCAATCGTATAAAACAAAACTTTAATCAGATAGTAAGGGGAGACAATTGCATTCTTAATTCTAATTCTAAAAATGTAACTAGATATTCGTTAATTGGAAAATAAGATGATTGCTTGCAGTTACTAAGCAAAACGTTAAAAAAATGACTATAGGTAAATAAAGAATTTATGTTTTATGTATAAATCTATTCTAATTTTGCCAGTTGTAAACATGACACATTTATGAATTATAATAGGTACCTGCTTTATATTTTTTGATAATTATTATCATCGTGATTCGCTGGTTATTTATCAGTGATTTTATGCATTACTATAAAATAGGTAAAAAATAAGACGTTGGCATCAATGAAAAACAAGCTAGTTGATATTTTATGATTTTTTACAAATCATTTTATTAGTTGTGTTAAACTACAGACATGTATTTATTAATTAATAATAATTTATACCTATGTTGTTATTAATCAATAAATCATAACTCATTTGTTTGATGTTACTGCTACGTATAATGAAATGATTTTGTTTAAATTATGTACCTACCTAGTAGATATAAAATCAATATTATTATGCATTCTTTAATATTATATATATTATATATTTATATATTTACCTTTTTTGTTTGAATGATACCTGCATAGTCTCCATTTAAATTGTCATTGTTTTATACGATAATATAACGATTTTTTTTTTTATTAATTGATCTGTCTATGTGTCTATGTCAATTTTTATTTTTATAACTGACTATATTATACATTTTGAAAGTATAAATTATGTTAGTATTATGAGAAATAATTTTTGAATTACTATTACAGTATATTCTTTAATATAAGTAAGATAATTACAATTAATTTTTTGATTATTTAAAAATACAATGTATAATGTATTATAATACATTTGAAAAATAATATTTAAAGTAATTACTAAAGGAAAATGTGATGAAACTATGCATCGAATGTGGCTTAATCACTTATACTATATTGATTTCTATACCTCTCTAATTATCAGTATATTCTTATATCCCAAAATAACTTTTGAAAGCTCCAATCCAAATCGTTTAAATAATCGTTTGTTTTCAATCACATGTGAATTTCATTGATGATATACTGAATTATAATTGTATTTAAAATAAAAATACCTATAGACTATAAACATCGTGATATTTCAGAAAAAAACTAAACATAAAACGTATTATAATTACTAAACCAAAAATATATATACCTGCGTGTATTTTTTAAAATATTTTAAATGCTGTAACTTATTTTGAAATTTAAAATTAACTATAAACACTATGTACTAAGAATTGTATCATGACTATGTATAAAACGTTTAAATTTCTGAATAAAAATTAATGTAAAAGAAATATTACAAAAAATGTATCAATGATAAAGTCGAACTTCGATAATCCGTCAATAACTTGTCTGCCGGATTCTAATTAATGATTTACTTGATGTTACTATTGTTACACATTTTATTTTGTATGCTATGTTGTTTTAAAGTTTTAGTTTTACATGGCAGTGGTTGTTCCATTCCTCGCTGGACAACGACTAATATATATGGAGTACGAATAAGTATTTGTCATAAACCAACATCTAACCTTTGCAGGGAAACCTTAAGATCTTAAATGACTGTATTTTATAATGATATATATAGTGTCCATACCTAACTCCATGTTATAGTAATTGGTATTAAACCGTATATTGAAAATCGCATGTTATCAATTAGATAAAAAAAATATTGATAGAGCGATAGTGTACGTAGGTATGCATCAGTAGGTAAAATTTTAATAATAATTAATAATAATTAAAAGTGATTTCAAAAATAAATCTTATTTTAAAGAAGATAACCAGAATATGAATATATTACAGTGCAATTGATTTAAAACAGACTGTTTTGTGGATCATTCGTTAGTTAAACTCAGCAGAAAGATACGTTTTCAAAATATTTAGATTAATTTTGATCTATTCATACCAAGATTTTATATTCCTATTCATACCGTTCTATGCTATGTTATTACCTTATAACTTATGAGTTAACAATAATAATATAATATTTTAATGAATAATTATCGTACAATATTACAACGATTTTGGTAAAAAATAACTCTACACGACTACATGATATATTACTAATAAGTAATAACTAACAGAACGTAATGGTAATATAAATGAATGATAAAATATCCTTATAGAAATAAAAGAGGCTGAAACACTGTTGACCGCAAAATTATGATTTTTGTATCATGTAATAACTTATTTATTTATCATTAAATTCAAATTAAATTTATTACAGCAACCTATATATTCAATGCCGATGTAGGTATTCTTAACTTCTACTAAAAGAGTGACATTAGCAACTTAACCAGGTTTTTTTTCTTAAATCAATGATTATCTACTTTGCTTTTAAGAACAGTTTCGATTATAATTGGTTATTGATAAATTATTTTAAAATACTGGTAAAATTTGGGTAAATAGGTATTCATGTAATCTTTATTTAGTATTAAGAATATTTGAATGATATTTAAATTTTAAATAGGTAGTGTTTATATTTAATAAAAAATTAATTTTCTTTTTTCAAAATTATAAACATAAAAGTCATTGAAAACAATGGCTCATATCACATCACCACATCATTGACAGTATATGTATGCAAAATGCAAACTGATAGTTATAAATTCTTTATGGTATAAACATAAGCGTGTTAACTGCAATGTTAAGACGTTAAGTTCATTAGTATACGTATACCACATAGCATATTAAAAAACAAAATTAAAATAGGGTACTATATAGTTAATAATGTTATTATATTACATAATAACGTGTAAACGATTAATATTTAACACTAACCATACGTATAGTATATTTACGATAGTATGTTAATGTATATTAAGGGTAGCGAATCTTTTCCGGGTCACGTGACAACAACTTGCAATCAGTTTTTAAAAAATAAGTACGCTGTTGGGGTTTTTAAAAATGTCACAAAATTTTTTAATATCAAGTAGAAAGGTATTTTTTTAGTTTAAAACACTTATAAACACAAACAGGATTAGATTAATTTATCAATGTATTATTCTTCTGTTTTAATCTAATCAAATACATTGAATCTGGAAAATAAATTTGTGTTGATGCGAATATTGAGTGTACTACAAGTATAATAATTTTTTTTTCACTGAATGCAACTATAAGCAAGATTGAACTATAAAATACAAAATGTTCGCATGCGTTAAAATTTGGACAACGTACCATCTTTTAAATCTGTGTCACAAGTTCGCCACTTATGATAAAAATAAATAAATATTATATAATGATTTACAATGAAATGTTAAATGTAAGTACAGTATACTGTGAATATTATGTAAAGAATTTTGTACAATCTTGGATTCAGAGAAAAAGGGTGTGGCCATCATGTATACGAGTATACGATTGTCTACATATAAATTATTTGTGTACACTGTATACAAATATCACACAAATATTTTCCTCTTATAGTAAGTTAATTTGAAATATTAAATTGCTTACCTAATAATTATTTCCTATTCATTACTTTATTTCAGAATATTCAAAATAATTTATTGAATTACAAAATCTAAACATCCTTAAATATTTATATTATATTAATTTAATAATATGTAAAACTTCAATTTTTTTAAACCTAAAATTTTATTAAAAAACGTCTGACGTTGTCTCCGAAATGATCGGAAATATGACGCGTGTGACCCGTGGCCACTGGAGTCGTCATATTGATATCGATTGTTAACCATAGTAGTATATTTTATTTAAATATTTATTAAGCATTAAGCTTACGAAAGACCCACAATTTGTCAATTTAATAAAAACAGTTGAATGCTATACGTCGAATAAATAGTATTTTTGCGAATAAGTGAAAAAATATTTATTCGTTTATTGAATTAAGTAAAAAAATCGATTACCTGTATGAACCACCGACTGTAACGATTGCCGGCTGCTGAAACTGAACTGTTTGTTCGTTGGGCTGCTCCAGTCCGGGCGTACAGCAAGTGTCTGTGCAGAATTGCGTCGGCCCGTGCAGCATCCCCGCAGCCACCAGCAGCGTAGGGTCGCCCAGCAGATCTTCGCCACCTGCGCACCAATCCATCGAACTTCTCACTGACGCCCACTCAACCCCCGGCCATACCGTCTCCTCCCCTGAAAAACAGCACGTGTTAAACCACATTCTATTATTGAACATAAATTATATAGCATTATTATATCGTATACGATTTTACTGTACAAGCTTTATGTAATATAGGTAGGTACGCTATTCTTGTAACGATTTAACAATCTGAAGGTTGATACTTAATTTAAATGTATTTATAATATACAATATTATTTATGTTACATAAAATACTATCTGCACTTTTCCATACATTTTGTTTTCTTACATATTGTTGTATAATGCACTAAACATGTATATAAAACTGAGATAAGAAAACAATTATGCAATAATAGTAACCAAATTTATAATGAAGTTCTTGATCAGTTAATATTAATAGGCCAATAATAATTATGTATATCAACAAATAAAACTTAATTGTGACACCTGTATTATTATCATAGATACTGATCAGCGTTGCTGTCTTCTTAAACGTGTAAATAACTGAAAAATTCCAACTGTAGAGATCCTGAGGGAAACCTCGAACCACAATCGAAAACAACCTCCTTGTCCTTCAACAACAACTGTTTGTGAAAAACACATAATACGGCGTTAAGTTAAAAAGTTAATAGTTAAATAGTTTAAATAGTTTGTTTGAAATCTATTAAAAATTCACCGCACATGTAAACTTATATTTACGATGGCAACTCGATTTTTACCAACAAAATACCGAGACTATCAAAGATAGAGCAATGAGAACATAGACCAACGCTAAAGTAGACACTCCTAGGCAAGTTCAGTTGACTGAAAATGATGATACGTTGCACGATATAAGTCAGTTTATGTTAGCATTAACGGAAATACCAACTTCCACAGTGGAAATAGAATTTACAAACACAACAGTTCCAGTCTTCGGACATAACATCCTGGTAAATTAAAAAATGGTAAGAAATAACGATGTTATCACGATTCACTTTGACGCATAAAAACAAACAACATAAGTAAAAACAATTGGTCTGATAAAGTCTAGCACTATTTCACGAGTAGCTTCAATCGTGTTTATGTCAAAAGAAGATAAATATAAAACCTTATGCATTAATTATTGTCACCTAATCGGACGCACGACGGTCAAGGGAAAGGATGCATTAAAATATTCAGTCATAAAGTCAGAATACTAGCGAATCAGCTTAACCGCGGAAGCATGCCTATTGACAGCCTTCCGGACGCCCAGATATAAAGCAATTTAAAGTGATATCATTTAATTTAAAGAAGCACCTAGAGGCATTTAGTCATCTAGGAAATGAAATTATACGTGATAACTAGGGTTAGGATGTTTATGACTTTTGCATATTTTTTCTTTTAGTCGTACACATTACAAACCCAGTAATAAATTCGTTTTATATGGCTTAGAATCAGATATATTCAATTTTATTTTGCATATTTTTGAATATTTAGGAATTTTTATCAATAAATGCATATTCTGCCAAAAAATTGTAAATAAATGCATATTTTGTCCAAAAAATAACTTAAATATAATATAAACATCAATATTTACCTATAGATTGGCATTATTGGTTTCATGACTAATAAAAACGAGAAAAACGTGTAGTTTAAATTATTAACTTATCTTTATTACTTATTTATCTTTATTATAATTATATGTTTATTTATCAATATAATCATGTTTATGAACGATGATCGCAATAGTGTGGTGATGCCTATATTTTTAATTTCAAAAATCTCATATTTGTATTTAAGTCTAAAGTTATAAAAATAGTATTGTAAATTGATTAGGAATAGACTTTGGATTAGTACCTAATAAACTAATTTTAAAAAGACATTTAATTTTTTTTAAATGCATATTTTGATATTTATTGTGCATATTTGCATGTATTTTTTAGTGTTTTTAAGGTCATAAACATCCTAATCCTAGTGATAACATAATAAGTAAATTTATTTTAGTCTATACTTGAACAACATCATGGTATTTTCCAACACAGAGGTCACAACGGTATTAAAACTATCATCAGCAAACTACATTAAATCTCTCTATTAACAATAACAGATGTAAGTGATCTCGAAGTAAATTTTATTATTATCCCTAAAAAGGGTAAATCTAGAAATAAAAAAAAAAATTAGTAACACAACTTTGCTCTTTCTCACTGCATTGGCTAAAATACACTGATACATAGGTGTTTTCGAAATAAAAATTAACAATTTACATTATTGTGGCAGTAGCGTATGGGGACTGACTTGGATACATATTTTAGAAAATTTAGTTTATAAACATCAAGTTATAGAAAGAAAGAATGTAGAAAATGTATAGTATGTTTTAGATTTAGAGTATAAAAATTTAAGAAAATGTACTCTATTTTTTTGGATATATATATTTCGTTCGCCTATGGAAGAAGTATTTGGGTGATAGAGTCGAGATACGACGTATTTTGGTTTGTGTGCAAGTTATCCAACTGCATTCTCTCGGTAAGCGAAATATAGGTTTTATTTCATCCCCTTATATAAGTGAAGTGTATGTCACTGATTAAATAAAATACGTACTTGACACGTACAATCGTGCGTGTAATTATTTTATTAAATGTCCATTCAATTATATATTAAAAAATATAATTTAGTAAATTGCATATAGCAATATATAATATATATACATATAAATATAGGTATCGATGTATCGTTATTATACTAAAAGTACAATATTATATAGTATGTTATCGACCAGAAAACTGTGATGAAGCGAACGTGAAATTATATTAAGCTCTTGCAAACTCGAGTTTTTTGTAAACCATAAAATTTATAACATTACATTCTTTATTGTGGATACTTTTGCCGTAAATACTATGTATATTTATACTTTTTTAAAGACAAAGAATCCGTACGAATGTACGAATGTCGGACAGCGGTGGGCAACAACAGCAACAAAAGGTTCATAACTTTATATTCACAGAAATGTTTTTGTATAAAAATATTTTTATTTTTATTTTTATTTTTTTTTACGTGCAGTATAATATTATAATGGTGTTATTATTTTCTTTGAATGTCTACCATAATTCGTAATACACATCAAAACATAACGTATAGTGGGCAGAAGAGGGTGTATACCAGCGTGCTTTACTCGTCGTCGCAAGGGTCGTGACAGGGGGCGGGCGTGTGCGATAGTCCCTGGCTGGGTCCGCTGTAGTTGGCTGGTTGGCTGGCCGGGCGGTTGTCATCTGACCGTTGTCATGGTGACCAACAAGATATATATGCGCACCCCGAATAGGGACCGCGCGCGCGCGTATATAATAGTACAATATATTATTATTATTATGTAGCGGTTAGCCGTTGGCACGCGCGCGCGCGCGCGGATCGCTTCGTGTCGCGTACGGCTTCTGCTCATTGGTGGCGATATTAACGGGCACGCCGCGCCAGGCAACGAAGACGTGTACAGGGTACAATTATTATATTGTTCGCCGTTGCGGATATTATAACAATAACAATTATTAAATAGTCTCTCTCTCTCTCTCTCTTTCTTTCCCACCCCTCCCTCATCAAATTGTAGCACACTAGCATGGCGAAGACGTCACGCGGTTGAGTTCGGTTTATGAAGGAGAGTGCCGACGATCGGTCGGCTATGCGATCGGAAAGCGCGCGCGCTATATCATTCGGTGCCGCGATCCGGTGATTAATTTCTCGAATTTCACTTATTACTGAAAAAAAAAATGGGCGCATGCCTACACGCTGCTCACTTGCGTCCCCCTCGATACGCGCTGTCAAGGGTTTGGACGTTTGGTGTAATATCGATGTTATTAAAATAACGATAATAGAACATAATGTTATACATAATATATGCACCTCCTGTCTCCTGGTATGTAAATTATTAAAGGTGTGTAATACTGCAGTATATATATATATATTAATCGATTAATGTTACATACGCCTACGGCTTTGGCCATCGGCATAGCGCCCAAAATATTGTGATTTATCTTAAATAATGATTGAAAATCTAGGACACATACCGCTATTGGTCAAGATAGACCATCGGAATTATTAAATATTTATATCGAAAAATGTGTATAGTCATCAAGAATGAAACTATTTTGAAAAATATGTCGATAACAAGTGTACATATTGTTATTAAATTTCTAGTATAATTATTACTGATATTTAATTTTATTAATAGATAATATATAAAATGCAACGGAGATTGTATGATGAATGAATTATTGGTGTTTAATCTAAAATGTGTTCAGTGCTTAAGCCTTCCTAATGTTTTTGGGCGATTTTTTCCTAACTTAATGTCATAATTAATCACAAATAGGTACATTATTATGTTTTAACTGCCTCAAAAAATAATTTTGCCCAGATCCATACCATACGTAAAATACCTATATTGGCTATATTAGCCACTTCACCCTCAAAAATTGTTTTGATAACATTATAACAATGTAATATACTACAATGTTACCTTGCACCATAATTTACTCTATATAATACATTATAAAATTAGAAGAAATATTTATTTTAATTTAAAAATGAAATATTTTATTGCATTTATACTTATTAATTTATTTTACGAGATGTATAAACCTAATACGATTTTGATTAATATTATATAAATTAAAATCAATTAACATATTAATGTTTATGGATATATAATATTATTTATTATGCAATATAAATATAATGGATCAATAATCATTTCTGTTTCCTATACCTACTATTAAATTAACAATAATAATTTAACTGCAAATTAATATACACTGTATAAAATTAAAAATTAAAGTTATAATAAAAAATAACATGAGCTCTATGTAAATTAAAATAATTACTCATTTTATAACCAGATGACAACATTAAATCTAAGTTTACACATAAATATCAAAATAAATGTTTCTTTCTATCATTTTTTTTTTTTGTCCTCAATAAACTCAAAAACCCAACCTATTTTTATAAAAGTTTCATTACCAATAAATTTTTAGGATATTCTAGAGCATTTGTAATTTTTTCAACTCATATAGGTCCCTTATTATAGAGTTGCTCACACAAGAATTGTATTTAAGCTCACGAAAATCTAAAAAAAATATTATACATAGCGTGAACATTACACTGATTATAAAATAGCTATTATGATTGGATATAATTTTATATATTGTAAATATTATATACTATATTATATTTTATTATTTATGCTAATAAAGCTATTTTATATACATTTAAAATTGAGCATAATAGCTATTATGTATAATGATTAATGGGGCTAAGTGTTTGGTCGAAATTAATATACTAAAAAGATCTTCGACCATTTTTGACAAAGAGCGATTGAGAATATTTTAACTGAAGCAAAACTGAAATAATAAATGGATAGATTTTAATAAATGGCCGGTTACCTAATTCAAATATTATAATTCTGTTTATGTTCTACTAAAACACATAAAATGTACATTTTTTTATTAAATATAGTAATATTCTTTACTTGAAATATATACAATCTAACGCATTTTACTACAATTTTATTATGATTAATAGTATTATGTATACTCGTAATATTGAATAGTTTTAGATAAAACCAATATAAGCGAATCAGATTATGATTTTACAAAGAGATTTAAGAGTATTTTTTTTATTATTTTCAATCAATATTGAGCCACATACTATAAAAATAAACTAAATTTAAGAATTACATAATTCAATATTTTTATTATTATTATTATTATTTGCTAACCTATTTGTAACTAATAGCGACGTACGCATGCGAGACGTGGGCTAGCATAAAAGGTGATGAGGGAAAGCTACCTATCTTTGAAAGGAAAATAATAAATACTAAGGAGAATATATGGTCCCGTGTTTAATGTAGACCTAGGAGTTTTCGAAAGAAGGAAAAATGAAGATTTACAAAGACTCTATAATAAACTGAACATTTGCAAATATCTTAGTAGCAAAAGACTAGAATAAGCTGTACACGTGTGGCGTGCAGAAGGATGTCTTATAAGAAAAGTGATCGATGGAAATCTGAATGGAAAAGACCCATAGGGAGACCACGGCAAAGATGGTTCAATACCGTGAAGAAAGATTTGACACGAGTGGACCCTACATAATATAACATCAATTTGACAGTAGATTGAACGTAATTGAGAGGTATTGTAGAAGCGGCATTATACCTAAATGGTCTGATTCAAGCCTAATAAGAAGAAGATTAATTATTATTATTATTATTATTGTATAATTCAGATGGCTTAAATTTATTACCAAAATGTTTAATTCAGTTATTTAAGTTATATTTAAGTTATTGTATATTTGTGAATAATTAATCTTAATTGATAAATTGATCCATAAAATATAGATTTCTTGTAGATGAAATCATATCAATCTCCCTTTGTTAATTAAGAATTGACATATAAATGTTACCTATCTAAAGGTATTTAAGTAAATCATAATAATCATGGTTGATTTTTATCTAACATTTTAACGTTTGTAATTATTAAAGTAGATACCTACTATAAGATCTTAAAAAAAGAAAAATATAAATATACATTTCTTTCATGAAAATTATTACTATAAAATTCAATAATTGGACAAATTCAATTGTATAGCATTTAAATATTTCAAGCTTATATTTGATTATAATGATAAATATTAAAATATTGTTTGACTAAGTGACAATTTAATAATTAGATATCAATTTAACACCAAAGTATTCATTGGATTTTAATTTATTTCAAGAATATTTTTTTGTATAAATAATATTATGGTTACACATATAAATTATTCGAGTACCTATGTAGGAACATATTATAATATACTATACGTGTACACTGTTCAGGAAGTTTTGTACACATTACGACATGAGCATCAAAAATTATACAAAGTAAATATTTATTATAAATTTATAATATTATAATTAAATCTATATAAGATATTTTTGTATTAAATATACATATTATTATTATTGGTACAGTATTGATAAAAGGGGTTTAGAGAAATCTTATTTAATTAATTAATTATTCTTGATATTTAATAACCATTATTCATTTCTACTTATAAAATTACCAAAAACTTTAATTATTCTGTTACTATATTGATCGATTACTAATAATATGCTTATTGAAAAATTATTTAATATCAAGTTTATTGAAAATTATTTTTTTTTTTTTTTTAATACCTAATAACAATTTTTTAGCATTATTTGTTTGATATAAACTAAGACTACTAAGAGGATCAGCATATTGCATAAGAAATTATACGAAATCAAATAAAAACGTGTTTCTCTTGACTACTAGTTCCTAATTGCGTGTTTACCGATTGTCAACATGATCTAATTATACATAATTTTAATTTTTATAAGTAATTTAATTCAATACCTGAATTAGTTATTTAAAACGCGTTATTCATAAATAATAATAAAGTACCCAGTACCTACTATCTAGTTATTAATATTATAACTATAGGTAGAATTGAATACAAATAGATATCTAAAATCTGAATATCAAAAAATATTTATATTTTATATGTATAATATATATAATATACTTTAAAAAATAAACTTATTATTTTATGTCTTTTAATTAATAAAAGGTAACAACATTTTATTTTATTAAAGATTGTGTATCTTTAAATTAATAACTTAATTTCCAAAGTTCGCATATAGTAAAAGAATTATAGCTTTTAAGCATTTAGTGTAAGTACGTTACCTATAGAAAAATATATTAAATTGTTAATATTATATTTGGGTAGTAGTTTTTTCTTGTTTTAAAGTAGTGTAATAAATTGATTTTGAGCAAAGTCGAGTTTATCCAAAAATTATCAGGGTTCATTTATAACCACAGTTTTTCATCATAGTGATTTAAATATTATTACTTATATGTATTAGGTTTTTGTAGCGTATTTTTTTCGAGTATAAAATTAGGTACTGCACAAAACTGAGGTTTTTTTTAAACATCCGAAAGTGGTAACCACGAAGAAAAATTTATCGAACCCAGCTGTTCATAGTGCTATAAATGGATACCTAGTATCTTTATCATGTGTAGTATAAACATTTAAAATCTATTTAATATATATTATGTAATTTATTTTTCTCAATATCATCCTAATGTACCGTAGCTTGTTGATTTTTAATAAATGAAAAAAAAAAAATGTTGTAAAAGAAAATCAGGAGAAAATGTCCTTTACCCGCCATTTTATCAAAATTATAATTCGCACACTATATTGGACAAAAACATAATAAGCTAAAATAATATGATGGATATTAGCTAGGTGAATATAATATAATAATTAATAATAATATTTAAAAGCATAATATACCAGTGGGAACGGCGGCCGGGTCCAATTGTGCGGACTGCAACAGATCGGCGTCTTCTGTAGACGTTTTCTGGCGTCAAGTCATCTTTGCTTCATTATACCCAAAAAACCGAATTCCGCATCTGCATCCAAGACGACGTCATCCATTCGGTGGACATCGGCAGATACCCGTGCTCATCGCTGTTGGTTATGTTGCTGGCGACTAAGCACGACGGCCAAGATGACGATTATGGGTACCATGGGAAATATATATAAGCCGTGTAATTATTTGTCCGTCGTATCCGCTATGCTTTTTCGCCACGAATTCAATAAAAACGAACGGTATATAGACCAAATAACAATTATAATTATATTGCGTGTGTATCGCTGCACGTGGCGTAAATAACGCGTCTTAATGATTTATGTCGACGAGATAGGAAGAAAAACAAACTGGCGACGAACGATGAGACTCGAAAACACTTAACTACTAAATCGTCGAAAATTTTAACAAGATATTATTTTACAATATATTATTATTATTATTATTATAATGCACGACGGTCGCAACGAAAGCGGTGCAGCGGCCGAACGAACCAGTGTGATGTTTGTGTGTGCTCGTGAGACACTGGTTTCGACTTCACTGACGGTGGCGGCGGTGGCGATGACGACCCTCGACACGATGGTGATTAATGCCATGTGATGGGGGTTGACCGCAGAAGGGACGCCGCAACTTGTCCTCGGATGTCGCCGACTTACGTCACCCACAACTGGTGTCCACTTCCCGGCATTGCGATTGGCGCTCTTTTCCGAACCAAACGCATTCATAATCAATCATTCGGCACACACACACACACACACACACGAGCACGTTTACACACCCACACACACACACTTATACAGTTATATATTCACACCCACACACACACACTTATACAGTTATATATTCACACGCACACATACTCGTGTACGCGCGCGCGCGACTGCAGTTTCGTACAAACCGCAAAAACTATAATACACGCGTATTCATACATAATATTATAATTTTATTTATATTAGGTATACTATAATAATAATAATGATAATAATATACCGTTCAATTCGGTTCGATAGTTTTTTTTTTTTTTTTTTTTTTAGTACGCTTGCCAACTCCTTCGATCGTACCTGTAACGCGATATTTCAACGTCAGCTCTACGTTCGACGATGGCTGCAGATGTTTCGCCGCAACATGTATATATGTATAGGTACCTATCTACCTATATAAGATGTTTTACGCAAATAATATACACGTGAATACATGCTATAATAATAATACTCGCTCTTGTATAGATGCAGCCAGTTGACAATTGACATATTTCATAAACGTATATACGTTGCTCGACTTACGACATTACGGCATCTATACGCGTATTTGGTTATAATTATACAGGTACGCCGCGTGCTAATAGGTACATAGCGTGTTGTACACGTTTATATTGACATCGCATTACCTATTCGTATTGAACTTAGTTGTTTTATGAAACAAATATAATGGAACGTTTTATAGAATAACAACTGAAATATAATTTACATAAAAATGAAAAATTTCTGAAACTGGCTACGATAGAATTGCGTTTGCACATTTTTGACTAATATTTGCGTATAGGTAGGTTACACGAGGTGCCGAACGAGTTAAGACACGAAGTTAAAATTTTTAGTTTTGTTTCAAAGCTATATCTAGAAATAATCTTTCACAAATTGAATTGAGAATTTTTGTAAATAATATTTGTTTCGATATATCCCGTGTTGTTTATTGTACCTACGTCCTACATATATGTATGTATTAAAGACATTATTGATTCTGATTATCCATCCGCTATCATAACCAATGAACCTGCGTAACGTTGAAATCTATATTAACAATTGATCTTTTGAATGGATCCATTTTCCTCCAAAAAGAGGTTACTTTTACATTTTTTTCACAAAATAAAATGACTGATCAAACAAACGACATAGAACAATTGATACTTCACCGTAAAACAAAGGAATGTGTTCTTTGTAGGAACTACAAAAATTTAAATAATTTTTTATCATATTATATATATTTGTACATTACCATCTATTTTATTTTCTATTTTTTCTATAAACAGCTAAGGTACCAAAAATATTATTCATTTGTAATTAAAACATCTTATTATAAAAAATAAATAAAATATTTATAAAGGTACGTATTATCTACATAAATATGACATAACATTTACTATTATAATTTACAAACCCAATTTATATTTGCTATTTATTTTATTTGCATTAAAAATATTATGACAAAAATCAATGTATTCTTTTATATATATAACAGTTTCTTATTTTGACAATGAAAGAAAATTGACTATATAAGAAAATGGTATTTTATTGTTAGAGTAGGAAAATGGCTATAGTTAAATAAATGTAGGCAAAATTATAAATAGTTATATTCTATATTTCTATAAAAGCAAATTTAGGTTCAAATATGTTCATTATTTTAAATAATTTTAAGTTTAAATAACAGGAATGCCTACTATATTATTATGAAAGATATCTAAATAAAATAAACCTATTATAAATTTAAACTTTTAAACTTTATAATAATATACATTATATTATGCATTCATATCTACATAATAAAATATATAAATGTAAATGAAATTTTGTTTTTATTGATTTAAAACTTTTGTTATTATGACAGTACCTGTATTTAAAGTTGAATGTTTATTTATTCTTCATCGTATAATTTATTTAATTTCAATGTTAATTACTTGTATGGTTTACTTTCAGGATGATTGTTACTTAAAGAGGAAATTTATTCAGCTCGCTTCTCTTGGAATTTTTCAAAGAGAAAATAATACAACCATAAGTATTGAATGCTAGAATAACGTATTAAATGATAAATTTTCAAATTATATTATAACTATTCAACTGCAACATATATGTTAGTATTATAAAGGTTATAATAACGTGCGTCGTTTAAATTATATTTATTATTGTGTTAGTATACTTAGCTGAAGAAATATATTTATTTATTTATTTATTATTCAATGGAAAGTACAAAAATATATATTATTACGGTCCTTCCAAACATTTAGTAATCATATTATGTATCAAAGTTGCAGCTGTTCGTTTCAAACATGATCATGATATTATCTTCTACCGAGGCTGTATAAATTTTTTATTAACATTTTTATTTATAAATCATTTTTTAAGAAGTATTCGATTTTGACCATCTACTATGCATATTATATGAAATATGTGTTTAAGGTTTAAAAATAGGAAGGGTGTTATTCTTATACCTCGTGTCAAATAGAGGATGTCGATTAGGGGTTTGGCCACATATAACTGATATTGGATCCCAACCCAAGTTGCTATAGGGATGTGCACCGTTCACCTTGTTTCCGGTCATCAACACTTTTTAACTTCCTGGACGTAGCATAATTATTACTTCCACCGACTGTCCGGTCAAAAAAAAAAAAAAAATTCCTACACTTTTTATACATCTAGAAATTTGAGACCAGTTGAACACAAATATACACACGTAGGGTTAAAACTGTTTTGTATTAAATATCTCCCTTCTTACTCTATCTCACTCTACCTATCAGTCTCGTAGTCCATCGTGCGCTATGTCCTGTCAACCCAGTAACTCGAGTCGAGTTACATCGTAGTCACACGTTCAGATCCATTCCATTCCTATTCGTGTTGGACAAGATCTATTACTGTACGCGGTATCGCAGAGAAAAGCGAGATTCTGCGGTTACGCATTTTCAAAATCCCACGATACCTAATGATATTTGCTCAATATGCGTATGTTCCCATAAGGTTTAATTATTTCATTTTCTTTACACGTTCCAATTAATTCACGCATGTACCGAAAAATTCAAAAATTCCACGTTGAATCGAATTTCAAACATTGATAATGTATGTTATAATATTATGACGTGTGTAGGTATTATAATATAGTAAAGTTATAACACGCACGGTCCGATATAGTTTATATCAATAAGACATTTGTGCGAAATAATCAGATCAGAGTAAAAAGGAGTTTTAAGCTCATAAAGTAATAATTTATCGTACAGTTTATATATCTTAGTTTTTTTGTAATTTTAAGCTAAATCAATAAAAAAATATGAGTAACGTAAGATTTGACAATCTAATAAATTGTTGTTTTTGAGTTTAAGAGTTGTATAAATGACGTATAAGTATTGCATATTATAGTATATACATTAAACGACACACGTAAAGTAGATTATTTTTTTAAATAACATGTGCATAGGAACATGGACTGTATAATATCACTTGTGTTTGCGTATGGACAATATCTCATTGTAATTGACCTATATTTCTAAGAGCTCCCGTGATACCTAAACGGCTAAATATGTTCTACATTCAAGTGTGATCCTGTGTTTTTAGTAGCAAAATATACTCGTCAATGTCAATATCCACGGGGGACTTGTTATTTTTCCTTTTCAAACATTCATCCGCATTAATGAATTGGCTCTACGGGTGTTCCTAAGGCGCGGTGTTTGTGCATCTGACCAAGCACGTGCCAAATAAACCCTAAACGACGAAAGTGAGACATATATATTAAAGACTTGACAGTTTAAAAACTAATTTCTCAATGACAGTATAAAAATAATAAATACAATATTTATTTTGTATAATTATCAAATTTGTACCATCAAAAATTATATATTTTAATAAAATATTACATAAACAAATAATAAGTTTTATTATTCAACTTTTAAATAATATTGTATTTATAATACGTTTAGTTGAATAAAATTATTTTCTAAAAAAGAAAAAAAAATTAAAAATGTTCTATAAATGTATTAAAAGTCTTACTAATAACCTATTTTTATAGTTATATTTATGATGTTATCTCGCACATCACGATGGCAATTGATTTGTCATTAACAACCAAACACTTATCACTTTACAATTCGATAATCAGTATTGGAATAATAGTCAATTGAAAATCATGTGTTTTTAGTGGTACCTATACCTCGTTTAAGCACAGAGTTTAACAATATAAGTCTGCAGATAATATAATTTCTGTTTTTCTTAGTCCAATTATGACATTGAAGAGTGAAGACATATAAGAGCACTATTGCCTATGGGACATTGTAATTTATAAGCGTAGGTAAATTTTGTTTTAGTTCAAAATTATATCATTATGATAGTATGAAGAGTAATAGTACGATAATATTTTAATAGATATTCAAATTCTATGATTTAAAAAATTTCAATTAAATAAATCAAATTACATGAAAAATATTTTGTAGTATAGGCATTCGGCAGTATAGCAATTAAGTAATTATATCGAAGTCTGTAAATTGCGTGTCCAAAAAAAAGTCATAGTCATATACTATGTAAATTGCGGCCCATGTACTTTTAAAACATACATAAAGTGCGATCTGGGATATTCCGATTTCCGGTCGACTGTACAATTAAAGATTAGTAATAAGTAATAACTAATAATCTACGATGTAGATATATCAGCTTGAGAATAGTAAGGGAACAAAAAGCAAAAAAATGTCTGAAAAAGAAACATTTATACAAGCAAAAAAAAAAGTTACTTGATTAGCGACTATGTACGGAAATTATCTTACA